AGCACCTTCTTGCTGACGACGTAAGTCACTAAACAACTGCTCAATTCTCATGGAGCTGAAAGACGCTACACTCATTGTAGGGGTATGCTGCGTTGAATTCTGACTTTGACTCGTTCTACACCCGTCGCTTGAAGCTTCGTATCGATGACTGCTTCTCGGCAGCAGTGACTGGCGTTCCAGGCCGTACCATCCAGATCCTCGACCGTTATTCGCCAGACTTCAACAAGACTGTCATATATACCGGTTCCCGCACGAGAGCACTCAACATCTCCTCCTACAACTATCTCGGTTTCGCTCAGTCCAAGGGCGCATGCACAGAGGCCGGTGTTGAGGGTATCAGGCGACTTGGTGTCTCTTCATGTGGCAGCCGTTTGGAGGGAGGCACGCTTGACCTGCACGTGCAAGCGGAGGCTCTCGTTGCTCGCTTCATGGGCATGGAGGACGCTCTTCTTTGCTCGATGGGTTTCGCCACGAACTCGACCATCATTCCAGCCCTCGTTACCAAAGGATGCTTGGTCATCTCGGACGAGCTCAACCATGCCTCCATCCGTTCCGGTGTTCGTTTGAGCGGGGCCAACGTCAGGATGTTTAAGCACAACAACATGAAGAGTCTTGAGAAGCTACTTAGAGAGGTTATCAGCCAAGGCCAGCCCAAGACACACAGGCCTTGGAGGAAGATTCTGGTCATCGTCGAGGGACTCTACAGTATGGAGGGTACACTTGTCAGTTTGCCTGCCATCCTGGAACTGAAGAAGAAATACAAGGTATGTCATCGCCGCGTCATTATGACCGGATACTAATGGTCTATTTGTTCTTATTCAGTTCAATCTCTTCGTTGATGAGGCTCACTCTGTGGGTGCACTCGGTCCGCACGGCCGTGGCGTCTCGGATTATTACAACATCAATCCACGCGACGTCGATGTGCTCATGGGCACGTTTACCAAGTCATTCGGTGCTGCGGGCGGTTATATTGCTGGAAACAAGGCCATCATTGACCGTCTCCGCATTACTGGCCACTCGGGGACATACTCTGAAGCAGTAGCTCCTCCTGTACTCACGCAGGTCATTGCCAGTATGGCAAGTATCATGGGCATAGTACTACCTTCCGAGAAACAGTCCGCCTCTCACACGCGGCTGCTTCTTCGCTCAGACAGTAGTCCCGCTCCACCCATCGATTTCGAAGCTTACCCAGGCAGAGCACCTGCTGCCGCCCTGCCGTCGTGGATGCCTCTTCCTCAGTCCATGTGCGATGGTTCAGACAGTCAGATGCGCTTGCGCCGACTTGCCTTTAATGCTCGTTACCTAAACCGTGCCCTCCGCAAGCTGGGCTTCATTACATACGGCCATGACGACTCCCCGGTTGTGCCTCTCCTCATCTTCCACCCTGGTAAGATGAACGTCTTCAGCCGCCTCATGCGTTCACGTGGTACACCGATTGTCGTCGTTGTCGTTGCGTATCCTGCCACACCCCTCGTCACAGGTCGCGCGCGATTCTGTTTGAGTGCATCGCACACCAAGGATGACATCGACACCCTCCTGCAAGCTTGCGACGAAATCGGCGATATCTTGGATCTCAAGAAGGCCGTGGGCGAACGGTGGCCGTTGCAGGAGATCATGGTGCGAGCGGTAGAGCTCGTCAACATGCCCGAAATGCTCTAAGCGCATCCCTGGTGGATGCTTCCAGACGCCTTGGTGACGGTCCTCACCATGTTCACGTATTTATACCATCAAACGGTGCCCATTCAATTACTTATATTTGGAACTCTTGGTGCCATAGATTATTTTCCTGCGTTACTCCCTCGTAATGGATTCCTGATCATGATGACGAACCAAGGTCACCCATTCTTTACGACACCCACATCTTTCAGAGGCTCTATGGTTCAGTTGATTATAGTACTTACATCTTACGTCTGATGCTACGCTAGTCGACCTCTTTGTAAACTACTTCACTTCACCCTTCACAAGGTGTAATGTAGAAGGTCAAACTCTTGTTCACGCCTCACCGCTGAAAGGACGCCTTTTGGTTAGTCTGTCGGACAAGCGTGATTTATTGGGCAAGATTATTCCTCGTAAACCGTACTGGGAGCGTACTTTTGCCAGTGAAAGGCACAGAGGACGACCCTTGCGTCTCGCCACCCATTGGCGCTCTTTTTAAGGGGTTTGCCACTGCAGATTTTAGCCACATTGTGCTATGCTCGACGACTGCAACCTGGCTCAGCTCTGCTACTGCAAGAGCGCTGTGTTCCTTGGGGTTTCTCCGCTGTCAAAACAAATCAAGTAGCTCGACAAAAAATACGTGAGATGTGCGAGCGAACAAAGACGTACTTCCACGGTCGCTGTACCGATGAAAACGAAATGGACGTCAGGGTTTTCCAACGACTGTCCTCCAAACGCTGTCTTGCCAATCTTGTCGACGATGCGCCGTATCTTGCACTCCATCTCGGAATGAGCTAATGGTGTCTGTGCTCGCAGTATGTGCAAGACAGGCTGGTCTAGCGCGGTAGACTTGTTGTCAAAGACGACGTGAGAGAGGGTTGGCTGCTCGGAGAAGCAGGCCGCCAATGCGTCTCTGATGCCGGAGAAATTCGCGTGGTGGAGGAGCTCCTTGTGGTGCTGTAGCGATTGCCACACTGTATATTTATTCCACACCACCTCTGTTCAGGTCTCGTGGTCCCAAGGCGAATTGCGCAACTCACCTTGTACGATGCAGCCACTGTTGCATTTGCCGACTTCGAAACCCCAGCATCCTCTGTTTTTTTCGATCGCGGTGAGAGGGAAGGTGGGATGAGCGGTGAACGAGAAGCCGCACTTACTGCTGTGCACCGTCGATTTCACTCACGAGCCGAACGGCCTCGGTGAGTTTTCTCTCTTTGGATGGACAGGCAGAGGCTGTGAACCTTAGGACGGAGACGACAGGCTGCATCAGCCGCTAAGATTGGTGGAAATTGAGTTATTTTTGGGATGATTGAGGTTAGTGAGAAAGAGCAGAGTTTGGAGAACGAATGGGGTTGACCAGGTCCACTTTGCATGTGACGTCACACGTGTTTGCTATGCAGAACAACATGAAATTGCAACATGATAATACCTATATCGGCGCAATCGGTGCACTACCCTTCTCCTGCGCCGTCCTCAAACTGGGCGTTGAAAGGCATTAGTCTCTCGCGCGTGCTCCAAGAGAGTTGATCAATGACTGACCTATAATCGTCGCCGTTCTGTGTGATATACCTCACCCACGGCAGCGCTTGGTAACCGCTCTTCTCAACAATTTTGAGGTACCTGACTTGAATGCCGGAGACTGTAAAGTATGGAATCTCAAACTTGACGGTGATAGGAGCGCGTTTGTCCATGCTCTCTTGTTCTATTCCACGGTCGAGTCAGTGGTGAGGAAGAGGGATTAAAAGGTTTCCCCACCTCCTCGTACGCTTGGCAGGCCAAAGTGAGCTCGCATGAGGAACTCTCGTCCGCCACCAAGCTGCTTGATCTTCCAAACAAATGCTGACTTGTCAGGGGCGTACTGTACGCTTCCAGTTGATGCCTGTAGAAAAGGTGAGCTAGGGCTTTGGGATCGCATGAAGCGTGGTGCACACCCTGAACTTTGGTGTATCAGCATCGTCAGGTACGGGCACATATATTTCGACGTTGTTCGCTGTACTCCTTCTCTTGAACTGTGCCTTGACCTTGACCATGTATTCCACACGGCTTCCTTTGTGGTGTTCAACCTAGAGGAGGTCAGTCGTTTCTTCCCATGCAAGCCTACAGGAACGTACAGCAGCCTCGACCCATACCAACGGCTTGACGGGTGTTGAAAGCCGGTACGACATCAGTTCAAACTCGCCATCCGGGGGGATGAAGGAGATCGTTCGGTCGTTCTCAAAACGTGACAGACGAACACATTGGTGAAATTTGACGTCCTCCATCTCGATGGCCTTGCCTCTCGCCGCTGCATGGGCATGTTTAGCGAACCACCCCCACAATGATCTCTCCATACGCACTGCGTCCAGTACTCTCGAACATGACCTTGTCGTTGAGGCCCAGCCTCAGCTCCGGCATGCCAGAAAGGTAACATTTCATCTTGACAGCGCCCAGAATCTCTGATCGTACAACATTTCCGTTCGCGTTGACCTTCAGAGAGCTTGAGGTGACCAGAAGACTCGCTATGAGTGGACTCTACGCACCAGCAAGTTGACACTCTCGATAACATCCAGGAAAACTTCATTCTTCCTGTATCGTATACCCTCTGAACGCCATGACACGGCGTTGGTGACTGCAATCGGCGGTCGCACTTGCACTTCGAGCTTGTAGGACTCTTGCGTGATGTATCTAGAAGCCGAGGTTACAATGCTACCCGACGCTTATGCGAGCGGGCGACGCACTCTTGCAATATCTTGCTCTCTGTGGTTTGGGGGAAGCCAAAGTCCATCATCTCGTCCATAAGCTCGTAGATTATGACAAAATTGTCGCGGATGGACTCTTCTTCGAGCTCTTTGAAGTATTCCACCAGTACTTGGACGAGCCGATGCAAGAACAATATGATCTCTGCGGCGTTAGTGTTCCGCTTGGACAAGGCCAGGACTATTGTAGGAGATGGTTCAGCAAGAGCATTCCGAGGCCAAGCACATTGTCACGCACGATAGAGGTTTGAATGCCGGATGTGCATGTAGTTCACACCCTCTCTCGAGAAACAAGGCGTCACTTGCTGGCCCTCTTCTTCCAGCTCTAGCACGATGGGTAGGAACTTTTCAATGTACGTCGGCGGGACATCGTCTCGATACGAGCGTTGAATGAGCGGCTTGCCCTTGAGGTCGAGAATGGCAATGAGACTGGCCATGCTGCAAAGTCTTGTTAATATGCCAGAGGAACGCAAGTACGACGGAATTAGAGTAAGACTGGGTAAATGTACACTGCGGTCCAGGTGAGATCGACATGGGCGCTAATAGCACTACTTCGAGACGAGCAGAGAGCGGCAAAGATATAGATGAGCAGCACCCTTTGTAAACTACAGCAACTTGGCGCAGGGGTAGCGCGCGGGGCTCATATTTACGACTTATGTGACCCCGAGGTCACTCGATCGAAACGAGTAGTTGCTATTTTCTTTTCTTTCCTTTTTCAGCGCTGTAGGGCCTTCACACGCTGTGTCAAAACCACATGTCATGTAGGTCAATATCCCCGGTGGTTACTCAGTCGAAACAAGTAGTCTATCGATTTTCTTTGCCTATGTCTACTCATGTAAGCCAGGCATCTGCCCTGTGCCAGATGCCTCTGGCATCTCTTTATACTTGATTGAAATTCAAGTTGAAGCCTGTGCTACCGTTCTACACCCCCAGTCGGTTCAAATATCCAGAGGATATTTTCCCCCTGATAATCCGTTGGAGACTGGTGTTGTAGCACACAAATTGTTGTGGATGGCCCGACTAGCCCTTATTTTTCACAATTTACTTCTTGTTTTTATCGTTAAAACTCCAGGCTGCAACCCAGTTGCAACCCTCTCTGCACAAACTCTTTGCACGTCTATTAAGCGCCTGTATCATGTGGCTTAGACGCTCTACATGGTCACGTTACTAGCTACTACATCACACAGGCACGTAACTCAGTTTATGTAAGACCACATGGCTACAACCACATAGCTCTGCCCATAGCTAGGGTTTGACGTCATAGATACTGTTCACATGGACTCTTATTGTTCTTCCCTATTGTTCTCTTTATGGAAGGATGTTCTCACAGGTGTGGGAATGGGATACAATAGTTGGTCTCCTTTTAGATAGATTCTCTCACGAGTAGAGTTCTTGGCAAAGTCTAGACAATAGCTATTGTTCTCCTTTAGGCAGTTCTTTTGTTCTTCGTTCACACAGCTTCTTGCAAAGCCTGCCCTTAACATGGTCTGTGCGCAGGTCCCTGAAGTCTATATAAGCAGCTGCATGTACGCTCTTAGCCCCCCATCTTGACCTCTTGGTCTTTACAGGGCTAGGTAAGCAAAACTCCTCCTGTACTACATAGCTAGTAGTACTTAATGCTAATTTGGTCTTTACTGGGATAGCAGCTTGCATAAAGTCTGATAGCTGGTGAGAGTACTGTGCTTCAAGCCTGCCACCACCTTTTCATCGTTGTTCACATCGTGTCCCTTCTAGTTGTGTTGAGCTTCGTCTCTGTGACACAAATGTCTCCCACACTCATGTCTCTGCAACATTTGAACACGATGTACCACAGACAATTATATCCTATGTGTGTCTGCTGTAGTCTTCGAGTAGCACAGACTCAACCTCTCACTGACCTTACATCTCACACTCTTTTGAAAAATCTCATACTATGTCTTTTCTGGTTTTCCAACTTCTCTGCCAGCTCCAGCAGCTGCCAGGTCATTTTCTCTTGCCAATCCAGCTGTGGGAAAGGCTTGGCCAGCTCCTTTACAGCCTTCTTCTTCCCAGCCAACACAGCACAAGGTGCTGTTTGGAAAGCAGGCGGATGAGGTATGAGGCATGGGAAATTGGTCAAGTAGCTATACTGATCCATTTCACTGATGGTAATACAAGTGGGGACATGAAAGTTACAGTGTATGGTCGGATTGGGAGGGCTCTCTTTCCAGAGCTGCATGAGCCTGATGGTGCAAAGCTAGCAAACAAGATTAAGGCTAAGCTTGAAGGGGGTGTTGAACATCCTGGTCTCTGCTCCCCATGTACCTGCTCAATTGAATTCACAGGCTCATTGGGACGTACAGGAAGCAGAACGCTCGTCTGGTTGTCACTGGAGGTGGCCTTCGTGACGATGATGAGGAAGCAGCAGATGATCATAGGACTGAGTTTCTGAAGCACTATATCCCTGCAGAGGGTCCAAATGCTGAGACTCCGGAGGTTGCGAGGAACTTATGGGGTATGTTCTCAAATTTTGGCACTGGTATTCTTATTTATGTCAACTCTTTGCAGAAGAGATCACAAAGAAGTTCCCCTTCTTTCCGGCTCTTCACTGCCTCTTGTCTGAGAGGCCAAACATCAATCCCATCACCATTACGACAGGAGTTGGACCTCTGGGAAGGCATACTATCCATCTTCAGCCACTCAACAATTGTCCTCAAGCTACAACTTAGTGTGAGCCTACCCCCAATACAGCTCTGAACTCTCCTACATTCCGCACTTTTGGAGATGTCACAACCAATGGTCCTCCATCACCAGTGCCCTCCTCAGCTCTTCCACACTCTAGTTGTGGTCCAAAGGCCTCTGTCAACATGTCTGCTGAGAAGCTTGAATGTCTTCAGCCTTCTATCAAACTGGTGAGCAAGAACTGTGGGGTAGATGCTATGCTCTTGGACTTTGCAAGGTGTGTTCAGTCTTTTGTGAACATGCATATGCTGATGAAGTGGGAGAGAAAACACTGCATCCCTTGCTGAGCATCGCCGACGTGAAGATGCTTGTTTTGAGTGCACACAGCTACTTGAGTACAGGGCAGGAGTTTGTACTCTCGAAGAGTACCGCAAGAAGCTAATTGAGCTTCTTGCAAGTTCAATGAGTGAGTCTCGTAAACATCCTTGTCTTTCAAATGAACTTGCTGGTCCTTCCCAACGTGGTGGTTCTCCTGAATGGGATGCCAAAAATGGACAACTTCCATCTTCTGATGAATAGGTTGGCTCTTCTGCGTAGAACACAACATACCCAACAATTGTCTTGACTCTGATAGATATTCTATATACCTGAACTTTAATCATCTATAATGCTTTAAAAGCTACAAGTTTGTCAACTAACTGCTGCCATTTGCTATTGTTTCCTGCAGCATCTAATGCCTCTTGTGCCTCCACAACATCTTGTCCTCCCTCTTGTCCTGCAAGTATACCAATAAATCTGTCCATGTTCCCACACCCTTCTACATCAATGCAAAGATTGTGAAGAATAATTGTGGTTGTAATCCAGCAACAAGCCTGCTAATGCTTGTTGTTATTGCGGATTGGAACTTGGAGTCCTCTCAAGCACTGCCAGCGACCTGTCAAAGCACTCATGCAGTGCTCTGACTGGACACGAAAGCCAGCAACAACAGCATCAAAAAGCTTGTTGTGTGGGTGAAGAGATGCTGGTTTCTTGTGAACAGGAATTGTCATTACAAGGATATGCTGTGTTCGACTATATTAATAAGACGCTTAACGTACGAGCACCGTAGTTACCGTATATATGACTTACTCTGATCAATGCAACGATACGCACTTTTGATCCCCAACTCCCACTGTGTGATCTCTCTCAGTCTTACTCTCTCAACACTTTCCTCTACTTTCATAGCCTTCTAACATGCTGAGTCAGTCCCTGCAAACTTGCCCTCTCCAATGATGTTCTTCTTCTGGATGGTCTCACATGTAAGTGTGCACTCCTGGTGCTGCGCATACCCACTTTTTGGCCTGGGTATCAAACCAGAAACCACCAAGAGCAACATGCTTCACAATATCTTGCAACACAAAAGTGTTACAGGAATAATGGCTTGGTCTGCCAATTGCTATGAATGCACAAAAGCCGCAATACATGATTGAAGCTTTCATGGCACTTGGTTGAGAAGAGGATGGAAGGGCCAAAGTGACGGATATATGCCGGAAGATGCACAAGAAAGTGGAACTTGGGTTTTGTGATGATGATGCTTAGTGCACGTTTTGCTGTCACATTAGGAAAGTCTTGAATAGTATGGGAAAGGTGGGCCTGAACATATTAGATCAGCACAGAGGTACAGAATATACAGTATAGATTTACCAAATAAACTTCACTGTCATTGATGCTGGTATGCCATAGGAGGACAACAAGTTTGCCAATAATGTTCCAGCCATCAAGAACAACTTGAGGAACCAAGTCATAAACCAGAAAGGGCATTACTTGTGCAAGACTCTTGAAGTGCTTTCCAATGAGTCCTCCACAGTAGTGACAAATTTACCCAGGAATCAATGCAGGCGGATTCAATCCATGTACTGCAATAGACTCCATTTGTGCCTCCAGTAAAGCAAGTGACTTTGCCTTTTCAACAATAGGCACAGTCTGACCCCAGAAGTACTTCACAACACCCAATAGTACTGTCTGCATGACATGGATAGTCCAACAGACCGGATTTTTCCAACATTGTCACAAGTTTATAGCCTTAAGCGCCTATCTAGAGCGCTTATTTTCCGGCTAGGAGTGTTACCAGACCTAACCCTAACCCGGGTCACGTGACATCCTGCCTTATTTATCAATAGTCCAGACCCAAACACTAGACTCAGTCTGGAGCGGTTCCAGATCAACCTAGGCTATTGTTCTATTGTTCCTCTTCCATTGATAGGGATTCCCCAGGGATTCCCCCAGTTTCTATTGTTCTATTGTTCCTATTCTATTGTTCTATTGTTCTATTGTTCTAGTGTTCTAGCTCTATTGTTCTCCGTACCCTGGTCCTTGACAGTTACTCAGGTCCTTGACAGTTACCCTGGTCCCTTATTGTTCTATTGTTACTCCAGCCCCACAGTTACTCCAGTCCCTAGTGTGGGAACTTGTGCACAGACCATCCAGCCACAGTATATATAGTAGACCTTACCCTCCCTAGCTCTGCATCTTGACCTCTCTGTCATTTGCACTGCTAGGTGAGTTACTGCATGTAACTTAGTATTATACCATATTAACTCTGTCATTTGCACTGCTAGTATCCGGCCTCAGTGCCTGCTTGCCTGCTCATCATCGACTTTGACCTTGTTGTCGTCTTTGGAGATCGACCCCCTTCCTCTCTACTTCATCCCCTTTTTAGGGTTATCAGCATAGCAGCAGTCGCTCCGCAACACTGCAGATTCTCTGTAGGTGTGTCCATATGAATGTTGACCCCTGCAATTAGTTAGTAAAGCAGAAGATCTACTCATGACCTGAGCACAAAACAAGCTTACCAGCTAAATCAAGCAGAGGATTAATCCAATCCTCTACTGGCTGCTGTTTCAAGAGTTTGTCCAGTTCTTCATCAAGCTGCTTGGACTTCCTCCTCGGAGAGCCTTGGGGTGTCAGGCTTTGATTTTTGTAGCTGCTTACCCATTGCAACCAAAGCGTCAATAATGCCTTGCACTCCAGAGTCCCGAACTCCAGATGCTTGACGTGCAGTGTCAATCTTGATTTGA